GGGGCCTATGTGTACAGGTCTGAGACCCTGTCTTCACCAGCTACAGGTTGTGTAAACGCCACATGCCTCAGTGCCTTGGGGAGAAGGGCAGTAAATCAAAGACTCTGCCCTGGAGGATATTTTCTTTTTATTGACAAATTTTATTTTGTACTGTTTTCTTTTCCCTTGATAATCAATAGGATGTTGTATCATAAGCAAGAATAAAAGTTATTCAAAACAAGAAAACCCTACATTTCTCTTTGTGTTAAATATTAGTGTGTTAGTGTATTAACAGCTTTATTGAGGTGTAACTAACATATAATAAACTGCAATAAACCGCATCAATTTAAATTGATAAGTTTTAACATAGATATACACCTGAAAAACCGTGCCTCTCATGCTGCTTTGCAATCCCTCCCTTCTTTCACTCCCCTTCACTGTCCATCCTCAGGCAGCCATTTATCTGCCTTCTGAAACTGAACATTAGTTTCCATTTTCTAGAGCCTTAAATAAGTGAATCATACAGTACATATTCTATTGTTTTCTGGCTTCTGACATTCAGCATGATTATTTTGAATTTCATCCATGTTATTGCTTGTATCAGTAGTTCATTTCTTTTTATTGCTGAGTTGGATTTCATTGTATGGTTATGCCATAATTTGTTTATCCATTCATTTATTTATGAAAATTTGGGTTGTTTTCAGTTTTTGGTTATTAAAAATAAAGCTGTGTATGAGAATCCACATTGTAGCACATCTTCACTAACACTTGTGGTGGTGGTAAAATCTTTCATTTTAGCCATCCTCATCAGTATGTAGCAGTATCTCTTTGTGTTTTTCTTTGTATTTCCATAATTACTAATGATTTTTACCAACTTTTATGTTCTTTCTGTGTCTCTTATGTGATCAGGTGTGTTTTCTAATCTTTTGTCCATTTTTTATTGGGCTTATTGCCTTCCAATTATTGAGTTTTAAGAGTTCTGTATATATTTGCACACAAGTCCTTTATTATGTGATTTTTAAATATTTTCTTCTTGTCTATAGCTTTTCACTCAATTAAAAGTATCTTTTGAAAACCAGAAGTAGCTAAGAAATGTTTGCTTAGCTACCTAAAAAGTTTTCTAAGAAGTATCTATGAAATATCTAAGAAATCTCTGCCTAACCCAAGGTCACAAAGACTTTTATCCTGTGTTTTCTTTGAAAATTTTTATAGTAGGGAGAGGAGTGACCTCTGAAAACTCAAGGTGGTGAAAATAAAAAAGTATTTCTTTGTAACCAGTTTGTTACTGCCATGAAATATATTTCAAGGCTTTAGCCTCCCACTTGGTGCTCTTTGGGATGAAAACAGATTTAAGCATTTGCCCAAGAAAACAAAATTGACATGTTAAATAATTTTAACTTTTCGTCCAAAGATAAGCATATGTTAATTCAGTTATTTGAACTACCTTGGCCTTCAACTTCTTCTGTACCAGTGGATAACTGAAAGTTGAATACACACATTTCAGTAATGTAACTATAAGATAATGTTTTGTTTTAGTTAAAATTTGAGGAATAAAAAATTTATACTGGATTTAATTCATTCATCCAACATATTTATGGATACCTACTATGCCAAGCACTGTACTAGGAGCTTTTATCCATTTTTATCTATACATTTTCTTATTTAATCTCTCTAATATTAAACTGTGTGCTTTTGGCAAAAGAAACTTTAAAAGTTGTCAAATTCTCACTGTTAGTGAGAGAGAGATGCCTCTGAATCTGTAATCTGGTTAGAATAGTCACACACCTTGACAACAATACCCTAAGATAAATGCCATTATAGACATAGGTTAGCCTATGTGGCTCCCAGAGGGAACCTCTGAGGAGGCTTTTAAAGAATGAATGTAACGTTAACAGGTAAATACTGGGCTGTGATAAGGGGAGGAGGTAGAATAGAAACTCAAAGTAGAGGGGAAATTTTTCACAGAGGCACATTGGCTAAAGAATGCTGAGTGTGGTCACGGAACAGCAAGCTGCTGTGATTTTTGGTTAGGGGATAGGATGGTAGGAGATATCAGCATGCGACACGCTTGGAAGCAAGAAGAGATATACTGTAACAGGCAACAGAGAGTCAAAACAGGATTTTGACCAGGAGGAAAGCTAAATCAGAAGTGGGTTTTCAGAAATATTTTTGCCATTCTTATCTATGGCAGTCTGGGTAGAAGAAGGAGAAGGATTGGAGGCCGGGAGGCTGGGGAAGCTGGCGAGACCTGGGCAGGACTGGGAACTGGCCAGGGGAAAGGGGGAATTTCACTTTCCATCCAAAATGTTCTCTCCTAAGCTCTCTTGGTACGCTTTCGTTGAAAAATAACGTAGATTCAGCTAACTGCTTGATTTGAAAAGTTTTTTTTTTTTTTTTTTTGGTTGGTTAACTTGTTTGTTATCTGGCAACTAAAAAGGGCCTCTTTTTGTGCAGCAGAAAGATATAGCCCAAGATGCTCCAGGAAAGTCAACTGAGTTATGACGTAAAGAATGGATTTGAGGGAGGCTAATTAGTCCTCACCCAGGTACTAGGCAATAAGGAATGGATCCAGAACACTACTGATCGCTAGGAGATCTGGAAAGAATGAGATCAGTCAAATTTGATTGGATGGGATGCTTAATCATGACCCGCCAATTTTAAAATCAAGTGTCTAGAAAACTGATGGTTTTCCTGTAGGAAATAAGACAATGATTTAGGAAGAGAGATAGTATGCTTATTTTAAATAGAGTTGAATCAGAAGACCTTACAATTCAAAAGATAGTCCACACAATAGGACTTTCATGAGGAAATATCTAAAAGCTGTTCAAAGGCCAGATATAGTATTCATAAAAGAAGAAAGGGCTGAAAATAATATTTAAACGTTGTCCACATGGAGATACAGCCATGTGTGGTTGTCTGTGCTGAGGGATAACATGGTGGCAAATGGATGGTGACCAAGGGCAGACTTTTGAGGAAATACAGCCGGAGAAAAAGACCCATCCAGAGAGACAGAAAGGACATAAGGCAAGAGAAGTAGGATACGTAGAGTTGCAGGGGTAAATGGAAGGCAGGCGGAATTGGTGAAATGCAGCAGACCTGCCAATGAGGATGTGGATGTAGGCGCTGTGTTTGATGATACGGGATCAATTCCTGTAGGCAGGCTTTCCACCTTCTCCCTCCTGCCCCACTCCAGGCCATCAGGGACTTTACTTTCTCTCTTGCTGCTTCATCTGAGCAGAGATAGCACTGATAATGGGTTAACCTCCTGTTTATCCTTTGGATCAAATATTCTCTAAAAGCAAGGACTTTGGTGCATCATCCTGCAAAGTGATATAGGATGGGGATTTGGGGAAAAATTAATATGCCCCCTGATGGACCACAGTGTCCAGAGAGTCAAACTGTGAGGTATTATGGAACAGGAAGATCGTAAGAAATGAAAGAAGCACCTGAATATAGGAGAAGGCAGGCAGGGAGTTATAAGAAGATTCCGTTGAGAGAGAAACAGAAAGAAAAAAATGTTTAATTACATGGTAAGAGAGATTCGTCAATGTCTCTAAACTGCAGTGAAAGCCAATGCAAAGGAGGGGATGACAAAGCAAGCCGCGATGCTTAACTACTGATGGAGTGAGTCTGAGAAGGGACTAGTAAATGCAAGGGTGGGGTTGACCTCTGACAGAGGGTGGGGTGTGAGAGAAGGTGCAGAGAAATGTAGAGGTGAGAGGTAGGAATAGTGAATGGAATGGACTATGAAAGAAGGAAGTCATGGCCTAATGGGAAACAAACAAAAAACCCCACTAACTTTCAAGTTCTGATACTGTCATTTTATCAGTTTTGTGACCTGTGGCAAGTGACTTAACATTTTTTTTAAAGCTTCAGCTTCCCTTTTGGTAAAAATGGTGCTGCTACCTTCCAACTCCAAAACCAGGTGCTATTTTCCCACTTAATTGCAAGTGCCTTTTTGGCTGTTTTTGTTTTAATGTTTCCCTTTCTGGGCAGAGCAGCTGGAAGATGGGCTGGATCTTACCAGCAAAGCAGGAGGGTGGGTCATCGGAGTAGGGGAACAGTGATGCCATAAGCCTGAGAGATCACGAAGAGGTTTTAGCAGTGCTAAGCATAGGCTAGGGAAATTAACACAACGTGAATAAAGATTTGCAGGCCCCAGTGAGGACCCAAAGGAGATTAGAGGGCAGGGAGGCCTGATCGAACAGGAATCAGGCCCCTAGCTGAAAAAGTGTTGGGGAGGTGTGGTACAAATTTGGTTTTAATTTTATTTATTTTTGAGATAGGATCTCGCTGTGTCATCCAGGCTGGAGCGTAGTCGTGCAATCTCGGCTCATTGCAGCCTCGACCTCCTAGGCTCAAGCGATCCTCCCATCTCAGCCGCCGGGACCACAGGCCCGCGCCACCACGCCCAACTGATTTTTGTATTTTTAGTAGAGACGCGGTTTTGCAACGTTGCCCAGGCTGGTCTTGAACTCCTGGGCTCAAGCGATCCTCCCGCCTCCACCTCCCACAATGCCGGGATTACAGGCATTAGCCACCGCGCCCGGCGTAAGCTTCGTGGCTGAACCTGGCTCACAGGTGTGAGTGTTGAGTGGAGCCCACCCTGGAATCCACGCATCTCGGGATGCTTTGGGAGGGGCTTCAGCGGGTTCAAAAGGCCCGGAAATCGCCCAGAGGCGTCGATTTCCACAAGGCTTGCAACGAGCTCTCGACACAGATTAGGAACCTGTAACCAAGGCTTGGTAAGCCCACCGGGAAGGCGAGCCGCCTCCCAGCCTTGCGCCCTGCCGTGCTCTAGCAGTGCTGCAGAAACTTCAGGAACTTCGCTTTCATCTCTTGCCCAACGCAAGTCCTCGGGCTTTTTCTTTTTGTAAATTGCTGAGTGTGGCGAGGCCCCGCCCTTCCGCGCCCGGCCGCGGGGCCGCCCCTGCCTCCTCCCGGGCGGGTGCTCCTTCCCGGACGGCTCTGGAAGCCCTGGCGGCGGCGGCCCATGGGGCCCTTGGCGCTGCCCGCCTGGCTGCAGCCCAGGTAGGGCGCTCGGCCGAATTCCGAGGGGAGTGGGCGCGGGTAGAGGGCCTGGGGGCGGGGGCTCCCCTCTGCTGCGGGCGGGGGGGCATTACCGACCCGCGCCGCGCTGCGCTATCGTGCCCAGGCACCCCTTGGATCTCGTGCAGGTATTTGCTAATTTACGTTTCTAGGAAACCCTAGGAAGCAGGCTCTGTTGCTTTCTCCATTTCACAGATGAAGAAATGGGAAGAACAGGCCGCGGGGCTACCCCTGCCCTTGTGAGCCCTCTGCCAGTCCCTCCCTCCCCCCGCCGGAGCCCTTCTCTTGACTTTCTCAGAAGCAGAGTTACGGGGTGATTTTTAGATCTAGCAACCCTGGAAACACCTATCACATGTATAGATCCCGGGGCCCAGTTCCAGGGGGAACAGGTCAGTTGTATAGCGGTAGGGCCTGGGAGTGTATGTTTAACCCCCAAGCCAGGTGATTCTGATACGGGCTGAAGGAGGGTTTCCTCTTCCCAGACCTTTAGCAGTTCCTGTCTTATGGGGTTGGGGGGGTGTCCCCAAATAAAATTATTCTGCCTCACAGCTTACTTGTTTCTCGGAGGTTTCACATCTCCAAGGAGGAGTAAATCTTGAATACACTGGCAGGGCCACTCCCATGCCTCCTCTGAACTCCCAGAGAACACTTCAAACAGTGCTCTTCCTAACTCCCTCAAACTGTGTCAGTCTTCTCTTAGTCATCTCCCAGCAGCTCACAACACATTTTTAAACCCAGCTTGACTTCCTTTTTCTGGTGTAACTAAACCGCTTTCTATGTGTATCTGATGAAGGAAACTATCTGCCCTTGCAAACTATTAATAAGAGGCAGTGGCAAGATGTTAATACTAGCCCCAGTCCTTAATTCGTTCAAAACTCAGGTGTGTCCAGTTACTAAATTACCCAACATTTGGGAATGCTGCCATCCCTACCCTATTTCAGAACTACAACACTATGTCTCAGGTTCTGCACTTAGCAAGCCGCGCTACTGGAACACATAGTAACACAGCAACCCCTCTGCACACATGGGTTTTGTTATTGTTGTTGTTTTGTTATTTTTATTTTTTATTTTGGACCCAGAGTCTCACTCTTGCCCAGGCTGGAGTTCAGTGGTGCTATCCTCCGCTCACTGCAGCCTCTGCCTCCCAGATTCAAGTGATTGTCCTGCCTCAGCCTCCCTAGTAGCTGGGTCACTGGGATTACAGGCATGCACTGCCACATCAGGATTTGGCTTTNTGAGTACCTGGACTATAGGCACGTGCTGCTGTGCCCAGCTGAATTTTGTTTTTTTGGTTTTTTTGTTTTTTGTAGATACAGGTTTTGCCATGTTGGCCAGGCTGGTCTTGAACTTCTGGCCTCAAGTGATCCAGTCCTCCTTGGCATCCCAGAGTGCTGGGATTACACGCTTGAGCCACCGCCTCCAGGATCTTTTGTTTTTTTAAAAAGAATATTTGAAGCCACCTTTGCAGTGGTTTCTTTTATTCCTTGGTGAGCAGTAAGGTTAGAACTTTATCAAAGATGAAAGCAGAATTTGAAAAAGGACTGTATTTGATTTTAAGCAAACTAACTATATAGATGGTTCATGATTCATGATGGTTCAACTTATAATTTTTTAAACTTAGTGATGGTGTGCAAATAATATATATTCATTAGAAATTGTACTTCAAATTTAAAATTTTCACCTTTCCCTAGGCTAGTGATGAGCAGGTATGAGACCCTTTCGTGATGCTGGGGCTGCAGCTTCCAGGTGGCCACATGATCAGGAAGGTAAACAAGCAGTACTCCGATTCTGCCCAGCTGTAAGCTAATGTGGGTGTTCTGAGCAACTTTAAAGTAGGCCAAGCTGTGATGTTCTGTAGGTCAGGTGTATTAAATGCATTTTCAACTTATCATATTTTCATTTTATGATATTTTTAGTTAATGGGTTTACCAGGACATAACTTCATCATAACTGAGGAGGTTTCTGCACTTACTTAGCAGGTAGTGTAGGCTATGGCTCCCTTCAAAATCTGATGTGTACTTGGGGGTACCCAGATTAGAGACTGATAATGAACAGTTTTCTTTTGCTTGCTCAGGTTGGCCAGTACATGGAAGTACGTGTATAGTGCTGAAAGGATGATTATAAAATAAGTGTTTAATGGCATTTTCCTCTATTTATAGGTATAGGAAGAATGCCTATCTTTTCATCTATTACTTAATCCAGTTCTGTGGCCACTCTTGGATATTTACAAATATGACAGTCAGATTTTTTTCATTTGGAAAAGGTAAAACTCCAAAACAGTTTTTGATTTTTAACTTTTAATCCTTGTTTTCACCTCATCTTGCTTACATTTCTACACGCCTCACCTAATATCCTTCTCGAAAATTTATATTTTTCAGCAACCATATTTATTGCAAAACCTTTTTGGAGAAGGGAGGTGGTGAGATAAGTAAAGCACAGGGGTTTGGTTTCCCCCTGAGTAGGCAGGTTTCCTGAAAACAGAGATGGGTGGCATCGGGGTGGTGTCATTTCATTGTTGCTTTTCCACTCTGCACCGAACCTCAGCAGACTTCTTGTGTTTTGAGGAAATCTCAGCATAACATTTTATGTAGAGAAATCGGGAATGAATCAAATTTTTCCAGTGTTTATATTGTTCCCCAGGTTTGAGGTAACTGGAGACTAGTAAGTGAAAGACAAATTTTATATTTCCTTCGCCTCTGTTAGGTCCCTTTAAGAAGTAACATGTAAATGCCACACTAAGTAGATGGCCAACCACTTACACGGGAGTCGGCATTAATGGTTTAAGTCATAAACTTCCTCTAGTTTCCTGAAAAGTAAAGTCACTGTTGGTTGACTACATGACTGTCAAAATAACATTCTCTTCATGTTCCATCCACACATGAGTAAGTGTCATCACAGTTTATAACTGTTGAGTGACTTGACAATCTAAGCAACTGCTGGCTTCAGCTAAAAACAAATGTGTAGAATGTATCTGGGAAAAGTCATGCCGTGCTCATCATTTCAGACCTGTGTATAATAAGGAAGTTACTCTACTTGCAAGGTCCCATAAGCTATTTTATGTTGCTACCTCTTAATAAAAATCTACAGATAAATTCTCGCCTTTGTTAAGAACCTCCAAAGATACAACCTGAGGCTTGAGTTTCAGCTACAAATGTTGAGAGTTTTCAAGCAGGTGATGGGAAAACTTCTTTTATATATATTTTTTAAAAACCATCACTTCTAGTCCTTTGAGGTTTGCTGAGGTAGTGCAGGCATATTGCATGTCATTTGCAACACAAGCCATGAACTCTCTTATGCTGCCTTACCTTTCCAGTGAGACAAGTTGCCTTAGTGGTGTTTCTCCTCCCTCCCTCCCTCTCCCTGCCCGCGTCCCTCCCTCTCCCTGCCCCTGCCCCCTCCCTGTCCCCCTCTCCCGCCCGTCTGTCTCGTCTGTCTCGTCTCCCGGCCCGTCTCGTCTCCCCCCCTCCCGTCTGTCTCATCTCCCCGTCTCTGTTGCTCTCTGTCTCTGTTGCTCTGTCTCTCTTTTTTCTCTCTTTCTCTCTTTTTCTCTCTTTCTCTCTCTCTTTCCTTTCTTTCTGATGGAGTTTCCCTCTTGTCTCCTCTCAGGCTGGAGTGCAATGGCGCAATCTTGGCTCACTGCAGCCTCTGTCTCATGGGTTCAAGAGATTTTCCTGCCTCAGCTTCCCGAGTAGCTGGGATTACAGGCACCTGCCACTATGCCCAGCTAATTTTTGTATTTTCAGTAGAGACGGGATTTCACTGCATTGGCTAGGCTGGTATTGAACTCCTCACCTCAGATGATCAGCCAGCCTCGACCTCCCAAAGTGCTGGGTTCACAGGCATGAGCCACCTTGCCCAGCCCGGCGCATTTCTTTCTTTTTATCCTGCCGTTATGGTTGTAGAAGCTACTTATTAAATAAACACAACTGATTCGTTCAGGAGACAAACTGAAGACAAGAGTGGCTTCAGTACAATTCCTGAATTAGTGTATAAATTACATAAGTAGCTCAACAGAAACCTGAAACCCTGAATGTGTTATACCTGCGCTTCTTCCTTCGCAGAACTGTGTAATTCATAATACTCTGGCAGCAAGTTCAGGGCAGTAAATAAGAGCATGGACTGTGTGCTTCAGGAACCATCTCTGAAATGGGGATGGTAATAGCGTCCATGTCGTGGAGCTGCGGAGAAGAGAAATCCTTATTCAGTGCTCAATAAATTATTGTGTGAATCATTACTGGGCAGTAAAGACAGCAAAATCTTCTCTAAGAGTTTCTAAACATGGCAGGGTTCCATTTTAAAACTTGAAGCAACAAATTTATGCTATGTAGAGGAACATTTGTTTTCCTTCCATTTCAGCTCCCTCTGAGGGCACAGTATTTCATTTGAACCCTCCGTAATGCAAACTCCAAAAGTCCTGCTCGGAGGCCCAAGTTCCAGTGTTTAGCAAAATCCAGAAAAGCACTAACCAAATATGTAGAGAAACAAAATTCCAGATATGTATGTTCTTTGATATCATGACATTAACAGCGTCACTTCCATAAACCACCTCTGAAATCATATTTTTTCTCATCTTTGTCATTTTCTTGTCAGTGGAGAAGCTGTGAGCACAGTAGTGTCTTTAACAAGCTCGTTTCTATTTACACTTGAGGTGGTCTAGATTCTAGGAGGTTACTCTTATGTGGGATTGCTTTATAATCTTAAAAGTGGGGAGTAACTACTGCATGCACATTTAGCCATGAAATCTTTCTCAAGGTTTTTAATTCTTTTTGGAACAGGAGCAATGAAAGTACACTACATTATGAAATGCTTTTTTTAAATTTGCATTGTATTAACAATTTAGTAGCCTACTTAAGGAATTTTTCACATGTACAATGAAAAAGGAAGTGAATAATCTCCATTTGATTTCAAAGTGGTGCATACATTTGGGTTATAATCTAGTTTTTACTTACTATATCTGCATTTTTAACCCACTGGACAGATTCAATGGTTGACACTTTTTATGCTATTGGATTTGTGATGCGACTTTGCCAATCCATTTCTCTCCTGGAATTGCTGCACATATATGTTGGCATTGAGTATAACCATCTTCTCCCAAGGTTTTTGCAGGTAGGTTAAAATCACATCATTATTACTATGATTATTATAGAATCTGTTTCATATTTACATTTTTCCTATTTATAGCTTCTCTTGACGTTATGACAGTTAAAAATCCAACCCTTGTCTTAGGTCACTGATAAGGAGAAGCAAGTTCATGGAAGGACAACCTTATTCTAAAACTGCACGATTAGAATAACCAGTTGGAAACATTCAGGGCAGTCATGCTGCACTGCATTGATCCTATCCTGGAAGGAGCTTTCATAGCCACTTTGCACCTTCACTATGTCACTGCCTGGGGTAGTAGAAGACAATGATAAGGCATAGGATTGGAGACTTGGGTTTGAGGCCGGGCTTTGCTGCTTACCGCCATGGGATCATACCACCCACAACCATTGGGCTGTTGAGGGAAAGGACAACACAAAGGCTGGCAAAAAGTAGGTGATTAAAAAACCAAAAGTTCCCTTCATCTCTGTCCAGACAATAGAGTACTCCTGGACCATTTCTTGTTCATTCGCCCTCTTTTACTAAACATCAATGGAAAGGGGAGATCATTTGTGTTTATCTAGTGTGGCATCTAAGCATAGATGTGGGGGTCACACAGACCTGGATTCAAATCCCAGTTCTACTTTGCACTAGGTGTATACATTTAAACAAGTCATTTAATCATTCTGAACTTCATTTTCTCATGTGATATGAAAATAACACGTATCTTATTAAGTAACTGAGAAAATGGATAAGTTTCTGGCACTTGGTTAAGAATATAGTACTTGGTAGCTATTACTATTTTCTTTTTTTTAATTGCTTTTTAGGTTTTGGGCTATTACTATTCTTAGCTATTTTTTGTTCCCTATTCCATGCCTCTAGCCCTAGATTATGATGTTCTTTGAAAAGGCAGGTTGAAGGAAAATGGGAAATTTGCAAGTAGTGACTCCATGTAAAAAACCATTGCTGGATAAAGACAAAAAATAAAAATATTTTCTGTAGATTTTAAACTCATGTTCATATAGTCATCCCTTTCTTATGGGACAGTAAAGGTTAGGCAACTATATGAACATGAGTTTAAAATCTACAGAAATAGTTATCTACATGAGTATTATTTTAGGTATCTCCAAAATAAATTTGAAAATGGTTAATTTTGACAATTTTACATTGTTAAAATAATTAAAATATGTCAGAATCGTATTGTTGCCAGCGCCTAACAAAATGCTTACAATGTAAATGTACACTTTAAGTTTTTGTTAAAGAGTGGCATAGATCCTTATATTAAACTTTGTTTAAAATACCATGAAAGCCTAAAAGATAGAAATAGTATAATCCTGAGGAGCTTTTTAAGAACTGAGCATTACAATTTTATGGAATATTTTTACCTATGGAATATTTTATGGAAAATTTTACTTACTAAATAAGAATAGGGAAATAGTATCCATTAGGATGAAGACATTTAAAGTGTTGAAATATCAGATGTGAAACAAAAATTAGGATAATTGTGTATGAACTAATAACATAGTAGTCAGTTAACTAGCTAAGACCTAGATGGAATTCCCTTTAACACAGTTCCTTACAAAATAAAAGGGGATACAGATCTGTCCCAACAGCAACATACTATCTAGGAGCAAGATTTATTGGTGTTTATTACTTATTTACAATGTGTTGTACTTTGAAACAACCAAAATACCTATAGTACCAGCATCCCATAATGCTAATCTTGGGAAAAATAGAATTAACAACTAAGATTAAATAAAAGTTGTATTCTGTCATCTGGAATACTACTGCCTGATATATGATTAAATTCATCTAAAATCGAGGTTAGGTTTTCTTTTGATATTTTTTTAAAAGTACTTTTTACTTTTTTAGGCTAAGAGGCTACTACTGGTTTCATGGTAAAACATTTTCAAAATTAAGAGTAGTGTTATTTAAGTTATTGCCAGTGTAGAGAATGCACCTAGTGAGAATAGAGAATTTTTTAAGGAAGAAAACTCACTGAGCACCTTGAATGTGCCTAGAAAATGTCCACATATGTGCTTTACAAAATTAGGCTTGTTTAATAACAGAAATTATTACATAACTTAGAAATCTTATATCTTGGAGTTCCAGGAATTCCAGAATATACACCTGATTTTAATCACTGCTAATTAAAACCCTAATGGCTTATAGAAATATATAGCTATAATCAACCAAATCTTGGTTTGGCGATTTAAAAACAGTGGCAAATATATATTGACACCTTTTATTCAAAGATGAGTTTGCAAAGTCTGATGTTAGCAGAGTGCAGATGATTTTGAAGTCTTCAGTCATTGGGAGACGTAAGTCAGGGATCACTATGTTAGGGAGAAAAATTAATCTCATCCTGAGCTGATTATTATCCATCTTTGTGGCGGTTGTCTGGCTTCCTCTTTTTATCTCATTTGAGATTTTATTTGGCCTCTATTTCTTTAATTCATCTGTCATCCTTTTCTTGTTTCCCTCAATGGAAATGGCGTTTGAGAATGGTTCAGAAACATGCCATTGTGCCCAAAGTTTCATTTTCTCCCTCCTTCCTTTATTAGAGTCATGCAGACAACTAGAATTCCCTCATTATGGGATGGCACTGAGGCCCCTGCTTTAAAATAATGAAACAAAACTCTCAGGTTGTGTAATCATTCTTGGTTTTCCTGTTTCCCCATTTTTAAATGAAGAAACTGTAGCTAAGAGTGGCTGCTTTTAAGAAAGCTGAAAAACCATGTCCATGCAGTTGTGGTGTGACTTTGATATTACCTTCAAGAGATTGTTAAGTGACAACTGAATTCTTTTTGTGCGGAGCTGGTCCTCCAAAATATCTAGAGAAATAATTCCAACCAACAGTAGGAACTCATTAGCTAGTTGAGCAATTAGTATTATACATATCAAGTAGTGGTGGTGGTGTGTCCACAGGGGATAAGTTTATTTTTTTGGTGCTGTGTTTGTGTTTCTTGTGCTTTTGTTTCCTGTGCATTTTTAAATGTTTTACACGCACATCTTTATTTTGACACCTAGGGGAAAATGGTAATGAATTTCTAAAATTACACAGGAAAGGAAAGGAGAAAAACCCATTGACTAAAAGACAATAATCATTTAACTGACATATATTTTGCTGTGTATATACTTAGGGGAAAATGGCAAAACTATAACATATATATTTATAGACTTCCAATTTTTGAAATAATTGCACGTCAATAAAAATCACATAAGAAAATATAGTAAACTTTGATACTTTTACTTTTTAAAATGGAAAAGTAAAAATGGTCCAAAAGAAGCGTAAAAGAAAAAATTATATAAATGAAAGCTAGGCATCTCTCTTCTCCAACCTATCCTCCCAAATGAGCTTACATACTTTTTTTTTTAGTTTAGAAAAAATGTTGAATTGGAAAACTAGTTGATTTCAGTAAACTTAATCAAAACAACTTGACTTAGTACAGAAATATTATCTACCATGAAATGTTGATTTTGAGAGCCTTTATTCAGTTTGCTTTTACAGAAGCCTGAGAAGGAGATTTTACTTATATACCTTTAGGATGTTAGAACTCAAGAAGAGGGGAAAATAGCCAACACTACCCATTGAATCATAACATGAAACTGATACCCCCATAGGAAACCATTAACAGTCTGCTCCATCACCTTTTGAGAAATGCTTTCAATGCAAATAATTCATTTATAACTGAATTAAAATGATTAAATTACACATCCTTCCCTCTGCATCATAATCAGCCCTTCTGCACATAATAATTTTACACATTTTTACTTAATTTTTTAAGTTTCTCAACCAAGACACTAAAAACTTACTCCCAAATTATTGTGCTTACAAGGATTCCATTTATGAGTCCAAATCACATAAACCATTTCTGTATTTACCAGTAACACTTCTACTCCTGATCAGGGCACGCAGGTATCTGTTTGTCAAAAATCCCTCTAAAGATTTCACAGTCACATACTCTTAAGAGAGCAAATAGGAAGGAATTCCCAAAGGAAAGTATCTTGTAGGGAAAAAAAACAGATTTTACCCTAATTTCTTTTTAGCTATGAAGCAGGTGCTTATTTGCATTGCTAGACCAAATAATCTTCTGACTTTCCATAAAATAACATAGATTTTTCTCGCCAGTTTTGAGCTTGGAATAGGCTTATATTGTTAGAGAAGAAACTACCAAAGAGAGTGTTGATCTGTAACATTCTCCAAATTTTGAAGCCTCCTGAGAGGCTGTGCCCAATTAACTCTGTAGGTAAGATTTTAGATTTTTCTTCTGTTTTTAATGTTTGATCCATACAGTTCTTCAGTGTGATAAGTATAAAGCTATATTCTTAGTGTAATTTTACAGATGCTGAGATTGAATTTTTTTTAATTCACTGAAAGTCATTACATAGAAAAAGTTTTCCTGTAAATACATTGTAAATCACTACATTAAAGTGTATTTCAGTATTTTCCTAATCATAGCTTACATTAGTCTTTTATGTTTGTCACTTTTCTAAGTTCTTTACATGTATTATTTAATCTTACAACAACCTTATCCTGTATATGATAATGACTATGTAACAATAGATGCTAATTATTATCTATAGTATAATTATTTAACCCAGAAGTAAATTATGCAAGGCCACATAGGTTTTGAATATTACAGCAGAAATTTAAGCTATTTGGCTCCTGAGCTCTCAACTATTATGCTACATTTGCTTACTGTTTCACCAAGTATAATTTAAATATCATAAAAGCAGGGGCTTGGTCTTGTTCACAGCTGTATCCCCTGGGACCCAGAACTTACACTCAATTATCTATTGAATGATGAATAAATAAACAAATACAATTATTTAAATGCTTTTGCCTTACAGAAGAATATAAGTGATAGTTTTTGAATATATAAAGATATATGTCTGAAGTTCTCAGAAAAGTTCAGAGGATTGAGAGTTTAGATTTTCATTTTAGTATAATAGTAGTATTTGACTCTAAAACTAATCTTAAGATTCTAGAAATTTTCCCTATAGTTGAAGTATCATTTTACCCTCCCATAGCTTATAAATCAAGTGCTACCTGCCATTGGTAAAGTAACAACTTAGTTTCAATTATTGCTTAACCTGCAGTTTAGGATTCCCAAATAGAACATAAAAATGCCAAGTATTTTTATCATATAGTTATTACACTTTTGAGTAGACCACATTATCACCATCTTTAACCCAAGTTGTAGGCTATTTACTGTACCTTTTATTCTACCTGCTTCAGTTGTACTAAACGTTAGAAGACCATTCACTAGTAATTAGTCATATTTTCATAGGATTTGTTAAAAAAGACAAAGGGCTAAGTTCTTCCAAGTGTCAAGCTCTAAATAACTGGTCAAATGGTCATGTTAAAGAAAACATACATTTTAAAAGCCTTTTCTTCAAAATTATTTTGCTGTTAGGAAAATCAAGGGGGCTCTTGTTTTAAGGCTTGATTTTCTTAAGGAGAAGCTTTTTTAAAGAATAAGCTATAACTGGATACTAGGCAATGGAGTAATTCATACCAAGTAACAATGATGAAAGAGTCTTATTGTCTAGGTGTTGATTCCAGACTTGTAGGTAAGTAAGTCATTTTCATTTGGTAAGATGCATGTCTTTTGTAAAACACATATAATAACACCTACTTCTTAGGGTCATCATAGAGATAGATGGTGTATATTTGGAACCTGGCACAAAGTAAACAATAAAGACTAGCTTTTATCAACTGAGGAACATCTCTGCCTAAATTACCCCATTGTATTGCCACTAAATGGTCAAATTAGAGTTGAATGACCATCAGATGATTTGCTATCTAGTTAGATTGACACTGAATATAGAGGGAGTCTTCATATGTGTGTATGTGTGTTGTGGTTTGGTTTTGGGGACCATACTGTTGCTGCTTTCTGTGCAGCTGGGATTCCATCGCTACCCTGGCATAGACAGTGAAGTGATGATTTCCAGCAGAGTGAGTTTCATCATGCATTTCTGGTGTCTCCCTTTTAGGAGATTTTCCCCTGTGTCCTCTTCAATTAAGAGGTGGCCTGACATCATGGATAGCTTACAACTCTGGAAACCAGGAGACTTCGGATATATATGTGTTTCCAGTTCTGTTCCCAAATTCCTGATTTGTAAAAATGTGGGGCTGGGCTAGCACCAGAATGTTACTGACAGGTGTCTAAGTTTTTTCAGTAGTCAGCCATGTAATTAGAAATCTGTATTTTATTCATGCATCCGTTAATGTATGTGTATCTCCTGAGATTTCTAGCAAAACTAGAAAGTTTTCCTAATTACCAAGCACTGATCAAATGTAAGATTAGGTGGAGCCTAAGAACTTGTTTGCTGCAAACGTCTTGTATCTGAAGGCTGAGAGGTGTCATGACATGAAGACTGGATCATTCAGTAATTATAATTCCAGCTCTGTAGAATTTATTATAGAAATTAAATCAATAGAGTATTATATTGTAAAGAAAGAAAAAAGAAAAACAGCTATGTAGATAGCTTCCATAGATTGACTAAGGTTTGAATCATATCTAATTCCCCTTAGCCAAGCATAGAACCTCTTGACTCACCACTGTAGTCATGTCATAAACATGCTGATAAAGCTTAGACACATGGATTTCTGATCATGTGGCCCACTGTTGGCAAATCTTGGATTTCTGTGCACGAGGTGATTTTCCAGGACTAGCAGCCTGTGAATGCTAAGTCACAGGTTATCCCAGTCTTTTCTCCTTGATCCACTTGAAAAACGAAGAAAAATATAAATCATTCCCTCTTTATTTTTACTGCTAACATGACCCTTTGATCTTGTGTATTTTCCTTTGACCATTAAGAGCAGGTATAACTTCGTATTAAAAAACACAAAATACAGAATGTACAGGACATATTAATATAAGAAGGCACTTTATATTTAGGTTGGGAAAAGGCAATGTATTTTTTTATGTTTTTGAGGCTAATAATTGGAGCTAAGCCAAAAATGTGTGAAGTCTCAATGACTTATAAATGCTTACTGACTTGGAATATATATTCCAGGAATATGTTGAATTCCTTTCATTTTCCACTAGCTTATAAGGGTTAGGATTATATTACTCCTCTACCAAAAAAGACAACAACAAAAAACTACAATAGCTTTTCTGTGGGATGGAATTGAAATTTCTCAGCCTGCCATTGAAAGCCCTTCACAACCCAGCTCCAAATGTTTTTCAGTTTCTTCTTATTCCCTACTATGCACCCGCCCCTCCGGCCCCCCAGTGGCTCACACCACTCCCGGGGCATTTCTCCATCTCTGCCTCTTTGCTCAGGCTGCTCCTTTTGCCTGGGATGCCTTCTCTTCTTGTATCCAGTCTACCTGACAAACTCCTATCCATTTTTCAATATCCAACCTAGATGAAGCAAAATGTTACCCGTCTTCATAAATCCCTTTGCATTCTTTCTCCAGGCAGAAAGTATCTCCCTCACCTGCTCCTCCATACCTAGCGCACACTGTGCTGGCTATTGTTCAATTCTCCCACTGCTGCTACCCTCTCTGGAGCAAAGACTGTTTTCATTTTGGCATCGGACACACAGTAGATGCTCAATAAAGCCTTGTCAAAGTGAATGGAAACACATGCATGTGGCAAGAAGGAAGGAAAAACCCTGATTCACATCAAATATATGTCATTTTTTTATTCATTATAAATACAGGCAAATGAATGAGGAATTGAAATTCAGCCATAACCCTGCTCTCTCAGAGGGAGGCATTGTTAACAGTTTAGTATACATATTTCCAGCTAAAGTCTACTTTTGAAAGGAGATCTGCTTTTTAAAATTAGGGGAGGAGTAGCAGGGAGTGGGGGGATTGGGGAGGGATAGCATTAGGAGAAATGCTTAATGTAGATGATGGGCCATGGGCGCAGTAAACCACCGTGACACATGTATACCTATGTACCAAACCTGCATAATCTGCACATGAACCCAGAGCTTAAATAAATTACCTACATAGCCTAACTGTTGGTCCTAATTTTTGACTTTGCTGTTTCTTTGTTAGCTCACAGAGAGAATAATCATCCTTTTTGTGGTGATCACCAGTCAAGAGGAAGTCCAAGGGAAATACGTGGTGTGTGTTTTATTCATCTTTTGGAATCTATTGGATATGGTTAGGTAAGAAGGCAAAATAATCTCCTTTAAAAAAAAAAAAAGGCCAAATTACTTTCTACAGTGAAATCAGTACTAGCCGCTTACATTTGGTTACTCTGTATGAGAGGGGAAAACATATTCCCCTTTTCAAATTATTTTATGTTGATAAAGAAATGTATTTTTAGTGCTCTCCGCAATAGGCATATCAAAGATAATGAAAACCTACCATGGTATTACAAGAGTAAAGCAGCACATTCAGGTTTCTGCAGAAGGCTTGGCATAAAACCAAATTGGAATAACCCTCAGCTGTTTCCTAACGGGAGGCATTCCTCACAATTACTTTAGTACAGTTGCTTTAATAAGCAAAGCAGGTCTTCTATTGTATCGTCAGAATTTAGAGTTAGTTCCTGTGCCTTCAAGAATCTTTTAAATAATGGGGCCTCTCTAGAAGAAAATGCACTCCCACATCCATTTACGATTCCAGTGGGTTCAAACAACTAACTTAAGTTCTTTTATGGAAGCATTGAGAAGCCTTGCTCCAGTCTTCAGTGTCCTGCTAATTCTAAAACTTCGCAGTGAGATGTACCTAGCCTTATCCCTACAAGTGATGGTGTAAAACAGTCCCCTTTGCTCAGTGAGTCTTTATACCTAAATATGGGGAGATGTCCTAACTGCTAGGTCAGCTTTCACAAATGAGAACTGTCCCTTCCACTTGAGAGATTTGGATTTGAATAGGTAACAAAGAGCCTTAGTTTGTTTTTTTAGCCAAAGTTACGTAAATTTTTTATTGCCAATAACTGGATTAAAATATGTCTAAATAATTAAGTCCTAGAGTGAATTAGAATAAAATGCTTTGTAGAAGTAAAATGAATTTAATTATGTATATAAATTAGTAATTTCTCATTTTTGAATTGATAGTTTAGTGGACTTGGGGCAAACTTCATGGACATTCATAGCCCTTCTGTTCATGAGACAATGGAACATCATTTGGGATTGAAGCTTTCTAGTATGTTGCTCTTAGGTATGCTGACTCTGTCAGTCTCAGAAGCTCAGTAAAAACATTGAAGAATAAAACAATGTTTGCACTGAAAGAAGTAGCATGCTGTCATAAGAAGACTTTTGGACCGAAAGGTAGTTGTCCCTGGATGAACCCACCTTCGCCACTTACTTGCTAAGTGATGGTTAGGCAAATCACTTAACCTTTCATATTTTAATAACAGCTTTATTGAGATACAATTTATATACCATGAAATTCACCCTTTTAAAATACACAATTTGTGGGTTTTAGTAGATCCAAAAAGATGTGCAGTCATCACTAGTCTCTAAGAACATTTTGATCACCCCTAAAAGAAACCTCATCCCTAGTAGCAGTCATTTCCCACTCCCTCCTCCCTCCAGCCTCTGGAAACCACTTACAACATGCTGTCTCTATGGACTGCCTATCCTGGAAACTTCATATAAATGGAATCATCCACTATGTGGCCTTTTGTAACAGGCTTCTTTTACTTAGCATAATGTTTTCAAGGTTCCTCTGTGTTGTGGCATGTGTCAGTACTTAATTGCTTTTTGGGCTGAGTAAAATTCGCTTGTATTGATTTACCACTATCTGCGTATCCACATATCAGTTGATGGACATTTGGGTGGTTTCTACTGTTTGGCCATGAGGAATACTGCCATGAACATCCATATACAAGCTTTTGTGTGCACACGTTTTCATTTCCCTTATACCTAGGAGTGAAATTTGAGGCACCTAACTTTTAGAAACTTTTTTTTCTCTGTAAGATGGGGGCTGACTTATCTTCCCACCCTACCCTAGAATTATTTTTCCTAAAGTAATGAGCAAGAAACTTCCTCAGCCTGATAAAAGCATCTATGAAAAATCCATACTAACATAATAGTTAGTGGTGAAAGACTAATGCCTTCCTCCTAATATCCAAGAACAAGACGAGGGCATCCACTCTTGCCACTTACATTCAACATTGTCCTGGAAGTTTTATCCATGGCAATGAGGCAGAACAGAAAACAAACAAAATGGTATGAAAGACAGCTAGGTTGGAAAGCAACAAGTAAAACTATCTCTATTGGCAGATGATATAAAAAATTATAAGACCAATATATAAAAATGAATTATATTTTCATACATTTGTAATTAACTACCATAAAATGAACTCAAGAACACGATTCTGTTTATAGTAGCATCAAAAAGAATAAAGTACTGAGGAAAAAATTTAACAAAAGATACACAGAATTTATACACTGAAAATTATAAAGCATTGTTGAAAAAAATTAAAGATCTAAATAAATGAAAGGACATCCCACATGGCTTGAAGACTTAATATTGTTCAGATGGCAGTATTCCCTAAATTGATCTGTAGATTCAGTGCAATCCCTATTAGAACCCAGATGACTAATTGCAGAAAATGAGAAGCTGATTCTAAAACTCATATTCAAACTCGGAATAGCCAAAACAATTTTAGAAGACTATAGCTGATGTCTCATTCTTCCCCATTTCAAAACTTACTACAAAGCAATGATTAAGTGTGCTACTGGCATAAGGATAAATCATGGAATAAAATTGATAGTCTAAAGATAAAGTCTCACATTTTTGATAAATTAACTTTTGACAAGACTGCCAAGACCATTCAATGGGGAAAGATTAGTTTTTTTTGCCAAATGGTGGTGGGACCAACTGGGTATTTATATGCAAAAGAATGAAGTTAACACTCACATGTAAGTGGTAAAACTATGAAACTCTTTGGAAAAAAATAAACGAGTAAATCTTGATGACTGGATTTAGCAGTGGATTACAAGATATGACACCAGAAACACAAAAGAAAAAAAAGATGAATTGGACTTCATCAAAGTGGCTTTTTTTTTTTTTTTTTTTTTTTTTTTTTTTTTTTTTTTTTTTTTTTTTTTTTTTTTTTTTTTTTTTTTTTTTTTTTTTTTTTNTTTTTTGAGATGGAGTCTCACCCTCTCATTCAGTCTAGAGTGGTGTGATCTCAGCTCACAGCAACCTCTGCCTCTTGGGTTCAGATGATTCTCTTGCCTCAGCCTCCTGAGTAGCTGGGATTACAGGTGGCCGCCACCATGCTCAGTTAATTTTTGTATTTTTAGTAGAGACAGGGTTTCGTCATGTTTCCCAGGCTGGTCTGGAACCCCTGACCTTGGGTGATCTGCCTGCCTCGGCCTCCCAAAGTGTTGGGATTACATGCCTCAGCCACCGCACTCAACCAAAAGTGGCTTTTAAACATGAAAAGATGCTTACCTGCTCTTCTGAGGGGGAAAAGGTGAGATACTATTTTCACTTTGATTGGTAAAGATCAAAAAGCTTGATAATATGCTGTGTTTAATGAGGTCCTGCACTGCTGGTATGTATGCTTTGTAGTAGATATGCATATAGATATGCAAATGCAAAAACGTTTCTGAAAGAATACCTAAGAAACTGACACTGGCCATTGTCTCTGAGGGGTGGAATTCAGGTCCTGGATTGAGAGAAATTTACTCTTCCCCATTCATGTTTTCAAGGTGTTCTGGGTGGTTTTGCCATATGTATTTATTGTCTGTCTCTATCAGTAGTTCTTAAAGTGTGGTCCCTGGACCAGTGGCATCAGTATCACCTGGAACTTGTTAATACAAAGTCGGCTGTACCACAGATCCGTTGGTTCAGAGACTTTGGGAGTAGGGCCCAGTAATTTGTGTTTTAACACTTTAACATGTCATCTAGGTGATTCTGATGTATGCTCAAGCCTAAAAACCAGTGTCCTATGCAAAGAAATAAAACACCATGTAGACTATTTAATCTATTACATCACAAAGGTGGGCTTAGAGGTCCCTACTATACCCAAATTAGCTCCCAAGTCCAGTTGTTTAATTGATCACATAGATATTACAACTGCAGAAGCAGAAGGATGCCACGTAAAGATTTGGAAGTCATATTTTATTTTTTAATTCTGAGATATTTACAATTATGTCTGTCTTTAAAAAACCTAGCTGCTTGCTGCATAAAATGGGCTTGGCTTTTTAATGAAATTGGAGTCACTAATCAAGAAAATTTGTATTTTTCTAAGGAGGGAGTAAGAGTTATTTGCTCTGTTTAGCTTTATAATTATTCATGATCTACCCCATGAGTCAAGCCAGATTGACATGGTCCTTTTCCTACCCATTAAAAAAAAAAAAAAATTTTCTCTTGCTTAAATTATAGGAAATAAAAAATATAATTTGCACACTTTCCAGTTATATCTCTGTTCTTAATTACATAGTAAAGTACAGATATTAGCAGAAAATTATGTTTATGAGCATCTCATCTCCTTTCAGGTACACTTACAGCATGTTATCAGTCATAGGAATATCCTATGCTGTCTTGACATGGCTGAGTCAAACACTATGGATGCCAATTTATCCTTTATGTGTTCTTGCTGAAGGTAAGAAAAGAGTGACTTGCTATATTACCGATGAAAGCCATCTAGTTATAATGGTTCACTAAGTTTTTTGATGATTAAATTACTATTTTTGCAGATGCTTAGCGCACTCAGCGTGTCTTTCCTGGTACATTTCCCTTGATGCAGAGACAAAGTTGAACAGGGAAGCAGCTCTGCACAGTAGACAAAATATTGGCAAAAAGCAAAGGCATCTGAGTCCTTCATTAATTCACTGTATGAGTTTTGAGTAACTCATTTAACCTCTCAGCGTCTGCTTGCTCACCAAAAAGAAGTTAATATTTAGAGACTCCATGATTTCTAACTTGTAATGCACAGAAATTGAGTTCCCACTTACCATTTCCCATGTATCCTGCCCTCTCTCAGCAACTAGTTAACTCTGCCTTCAGATTAATCATCATTTTCTGAGGGAGGCATTCCCCGACTTCCTCAACTGAGTTCTTCCACCTACAGCATCATGAATCTTTTATAGCAGGGGCCCCCAACCTGGGCTATGACCCCAGTCTGCAGCCCGTTAAGAGCCAGGCTGCATAGCAGGAGGTGAGTGGTAGGCTAGCAGGTGAAGAATCATCTGTGTTTATGGCCACCCACCATGGCTCACATTATCACCTTAGCTCTACCTCCTGTCAGATCAGTGGAGGCATCAGATTTTCATAGGAGCACGAACCCTTTGGTGAACTGCACATGTGAGGGATCTAGGTTGCATGCTCCTTATGAGAATCTAATGCCTGATGATCTGTCATTGTCTCCCATCACCCCCAGATGAAGAACATCTAGCTGCAGGAAAATAAGCTCAGGGCTCCCACTGTTTCTACATTATGGTGAGCTGTATAATTATTTCATTATATATTACAACATAGTACTAATGCAAATAAAGTACACAATAAACATCATGTACTTGAAACATCCCGAAACCATTCTTCCTCCCCTGGTCTGTGGAAAAATTGTCTTCCACAAAACCAATACCTGGTGTCTAAAGGTTGAGGACTGCTGTCTTATGGGGCTTATCTCAGCATAATTACACATTTGTATGATTATTTGATTAATGTCCATTTCCTTGACTGGACTGTAAGCTCTGAGGGGGTATGAGGATGTCTTTGTTTGTTTCTTTGCTTCCTTCCTTTCTCTGACGCATCAGTATACATGCTCAACACAGTATGAATTGTTGAATACAATATGAAGTAGGCTAATTACATAGCCTAAAACTGAAGATCAAATCATTCAGATAACCAGTTTGCAGAGTTTGAGGATATTTGTAGATTAGATGATTTCTTCTGCAGTGGATTTGGTAGACTGGTAAGGAGCATTCTGTAAGACATGATTAAAGTTTTGAAAATTGAAGGCATAAAATAAGCATGTTAAGCTAACTAAGGGAAAAACAAGGACGTAGATTTAAGATAAAATGATGACATTGACAATAATCATAAGCTATATAAAAGCCAGTTAAAAAATAAAAACACATTTTCTCTCCACTGATGAGCAGAGAAAAAGAGCTTAAGTTACTGTAAATCATGTTAGATAGAATTTTAAACTTTTTTTTGTTTGTTTCAAAAGGAAGAATTACTAATTTTGGAATAGACTACGCCAAGTGGATCTAGAGAATAATTGTCTTGAAAACCATAAAAAAGAACCTGATTGTCCATTCTTTAAGAATGAAATCACCTCTCATTGTAATATCAAGTACATATCTTTGTTATATCATAGCACTGTAGAGAGTATATAAAGGAAATGGGGAGATGTTGGTCAAAGAACACAAAGTTTGTTAGGAGGAATACATTTTTGAGATCTACTGCCCAGCTGGGTCACTGTACTTAATAATGTATATTTCAAAATAGCTGAGTAACTTTCAAATGTCTCATCCCCCCCAAAAATAAGTGAGGTGAGGGATATGTTAATTAGCTTGATTTAATCATTCCACATTGTACATATATATCAAAACATCACATTATGTTTTATATATATATACAATTATGATTTGCTAATTAATCAAATTTAAAAGAATATATAAGGTAATAAGGTAGAAATAAGACTAGTCCCTTCCTAAGAATAAGGGGTGGAT